ATATTTACTTTTAATAATAAAATCAGTTTTCCCCACAGGTAGCCTCATTTCGTCGAATTTTCTCATAAAATACAAGAAGTCTTTGGCTGAAAAATAACTTTCGAAAATCAACGTTTTAATGGGCGATGATACCATTCATTTTTATTGATCGCTTGTTTTAATATTAAAAAAACCAAAAAACAATTCAGTTGGAGAAAAGTCAAACAATCCATCCCACGGGGAGGAAGTGTTACACGATGGATGGAGTTCTTGTGATAAACTTGTCAAGGAGTTCTTGTGAATAACTGTTACGGGAGTTCGTCGGACAACTATTGTATATCTGCAAATACACTCGTCAAAATGGTAATTTTTCATCGTTAAAAAGTGAGTTTTAGGTGCTAAATTAAACTTTAATAATTAAGCTTGCCTTACATATTGTATTATGTGTCAAAAACGAATCCATAGTCCATTTTTCATCGCCTCTTGCTTAAAATCTAGTAGTTTTGAGTAAAATTTCCAAATTATTGCCATTTCGCATGTATTGGCCTGTTTATTTCAAGTCTTCATCTTTGCTTAATAATTACCTAATTATAATGCAAAATTGCCAAAATAAAGCCCTGACTAACAAATTTATATCCGATTTTTCAAATTTCCCGGAGTTCTTGTGATATCTTTCGTTACTGCCAATGTGTAACCTGCACGTTTCAGCGCTTTTTTTATTATTCAAAAAGGTTGTAAAAAAACTTATAAATTTAAAATAGCTCTTTCCTTTGCAAAAAAAATAGGTATATATTGTTGGCTTGAATCGAGTGTGTGCAAAAGGAAAACAGGTGATAGGGCTACATCCAGTCTAAGGTAAAACACAATCAAAGAGACTGAATCAGGCCGGGGGCCAAAAAAAGTTTCATATCCCTATCCCGGGCGTTAAACCCACAAAAAAAAAAAATGTTCCAAAACTTAACACAACGTTTTTTCCTCAAAAGGCAAGATAAATAATAGTTGTGGGCATCGCTTATCTAAGCGGCTAAGTAAATTTTGTACAATTGTATACCCCAAATAAAGAAGTACAATGTATAAAACCGGATATGAATTGGGAAGTAATTTTTCTTCTTTTTAATTACTTTTGAAATTTTCAGTTATTTTTATCAATTTCGGCTTTTCCTTTAACAGCCCTGACAAAGTCAGAATTGTCGACAGTAATTAAGTTGAGGTACCCCAACATGGGGGGAAAATTTTTTAAAAAAGGTAAAGTCTCATCATTGAAAAGTGTGAAATTATATTTTGATAATTTTTCCACTGTGAAAAAAATTATCAAATATAATTTTCAACTGATAAATCAGTGATCCACTGAAAAGAATAAAAATAGAATAAACAGAAAGAAATATGATAGGGAGAAAATTTTTCAGAAATAATAGAAAATTGAAGAAATAACTAATATGTTGAATCATTTCGGATACGTTCGGCGACTTGAAATAGGGAAGCATACAATGATGTGAGTTTAATGTGATTATACTCAAGAGAACCTCCTGCTTTTCTCGGATGTAAAGGTTAATGAACCCGGTCTTAAACAGTTTTTCTGTTTTGGCATCATTGCTAATGTTTGGGTCCATTTAAAACAAAGATTGGAGAGTTGCTGAAACAAATGGTAGATATGTGTTAAGAACGACAGGCCTTGCTGTCAACATAGGTTTTGTGGAAATTTCTTTTCCACTATTTCCACAATGACAAAGAGGAGATGAGAAATTATTTTTCTTAAATAGAATGCAGAATTTAGAGAAACTACAATTCAGTACGGAGTCTAGCATGGGGGATTCTGCCTTTTTCTCTTCGCCTTCATAGACATAATCGGAACATTTAGGAGCTGTTTCGTCTTCAAAATAGGATTTGAAGTGAGGGCAATGATCCGTCGAATGTTGTACTTTACAATTGTTGTACTTTACTATTAAGGGCGTTCCATTTGATTCAGGGCAGTTGGCAGAAAAGTATATTTATAAAGCCCGGTCGGTAATATAGTTTTAATATGAAAATGTCACGAGCAATCTTCTGAAAGATGGAGGCCAAGATGTTTGAAAATGTTGACGGTCGCTATATTGTTGGCTTTGCATGAGAAAAAGTCGAGGGATGCAAATGTTTATTTTTTTTTTAACGCGAATACCAAATAGATTCAGATGAATTGAAGGTAACCAACCCATTTTGGCCTAAGCTGATAGTTGTTAGTTAAGATGTTAGTAAGATAATCATTAAACAAGTTCAGTAAACAATCGTCTACTCCAGCAGCTTTCAACTTAAAGAGAAGACCTGTGAGCCGAACTTTATCAAACGCTTTACTCATATCAAAGAATACTAAGTTGAAGCTATATAAATTATGTTGTGCTGGTTTAAACAAATACTTAAAGATAATGCGTTCAACTTTTTCTCGACACAACAAAACAAGAAAATAGGACGATATTTATTGGGAAAAGATGGATCGCCCTTTTTTAAAAAAAGAACAGACATTGGCTTTTTTCATGTCAATGATATTGTCGTCTGAACAACGTTTTCATGCATTGTAACACCGTGTGGTTAATTAAACATATTCATTTTACATTGTTTGTCGTTTTAAAAATTAACATTAACTAACAAACTAACATCAATTAGATCATTAAAGTATTAAAACAATATTCTAGACTTGAGCACATATAAATGTATTCCAACTACATGTATGTATTTTCGTAGTATATTAATTAATGCTAATAGGAGATCTGTAATAATCAATCTGTTACATGTACTACTAATATACATGTAGTATGTTTTTAACTTTGATTTAAAATGCATGATAGAATTGATCAATAAATGCTCCAAGCTGAGACTTACGTTCCAAATGCGGTATTATCTCAGTCTTACATCTGAAACACGACGATTTGCTTGAACAGTTACTCGTATTAGGACTAATACGAAAATCTAAAACATTTAAAAAAGTTCTATGAACAACATTATACGTATCGTATGTAGAATATTATAATAATATTATAAGCTTTTTTTATTAATATTTACAATACTAAGTGTCAATGTTTATAAAAAAAAACATTAGACACATATTTTGAACTGTTAGAAAGCACACTGTTTTTGTGGTCGAGTATCAGGGTATCTGTTCGTCGCATCGTGCACGTTAATTACATAGCCTTGTAACACCGCACTTTGGGGTCAAACGCACTTTGGGGTCCGACCCCAAAGTGCGTTACGTACTTTGGGGTCCGAACCCAAAGAGCGTTACGCACTTTGGGGTCCAATTTTAACCCCAAAGTGCGTTAAACAGGTACATATGCATTTTTTAACATCATGCAAACGACCGCACTTTGGGGTCATAGAAAATTAATGTTCATTATGTTTTAAATAATATATTGTAGTCAAAGTCAGTGGTAAACAAAAAATCAAGGTATTAAATAGACACAAACATGTGCCCTGAATTATAGTAGAATCAATAGGGATTTAAATGGTCTTGATAAGTAAGTGAAGAACTTTCACCAAATAAATCACCAAATAAAGAATTTGTATCAATTATTAAGTTTAAATTTCTTTTTTTCAAATTTTCCATTTATTTTAAAAGAATTTACATCTTTCATTAATTCCATTGTTTTTAGCTAAATGCACTATTTTCCCGTTTTTTATTTACACATTTTATAGAAATATGATAGTCTAAGCTTAGACAAAGGTATAAATTCTGGGAAATCTTAGTAAGACATTTCATTAAAAAATGTGCCTGATAATATGTTGAAATAGCCATTTATTTAGCTAAATGTGACATATAAGAAACTTGACTAGGTGTAGATGCGGCTTTAAGTAGTAGTCAGTACAGGCAGTACTAAAGATATCAACTATTTAAGTAGTCGCACATTAAGAGCGGAGCTTCAGAATAATGTAAAATTCTCACTGGGGGTATAGAGGGGATTGTGGGGTATCGATCCCCCCGAGGGTTAAAAATAACGTTTTAAAGGCCCATTATGCTTTTATTTGTTTTTCTTAAAAGCTTTTTCATTTTGATGTTCTTCTATATTATCCAAAAAATACACATTGGCCAATTACCTGAACCATCTTTTTCATTTGTTGCTTTTTGGCAATGATGAGAACAGTTATAGTGAATTAGTATTTTATAGGGAAGTCAAATACTACAGTGTTTTGACTTCTTTTATGAATAATAATTTTACATTTATCGCCACCTTATTCAGGTAACAAGCATCTTACATTTCTCAGATACCATTATTTTAACATTATAAAATTCATGTTTGTCCTTTCTAAAGAAGTATATAAGATTTACCATAAAAAAGCCTTTGGCGAACGGTTGTTACGGAGCTTACAAAAACCCGTAAAGCTACATTAAATAAATATGTAAAAATAGTTTTGCCATCGGCCTAAAAACCAAGGATTCTAAAGTGTTATTAACCTTTTTAACAGCCTTGTTGTAAATCTCAACAAATATTGTTCATAAATAAGGATTTTAAACGGAAAACCCCACGGTAACACTAAAGTTCGTATACGAATTTTAACATGCAAATGATTATAATCAGCTTGTGTATGCGCTACGTCACAGTGTTAGAACACAACAAATATGAGATATTCTTGTGCAAACACATTTTAACCGTTTAACTTCACGGTGCACTAGGCATGAGGTTAAAAGTAATCATCTCATAAAAAAAGATTAAATTTGTATGAAAACATCCGTTACAATGGGATACCGTTACCGTTAAATTAGAATATTGATGTACGGATGATCTGAAGGCGGAGTTTCTCATGCAAACAGATATTGTACTTCCGATTTCGCCACAATGAGGTTGTCCATTTTTTATGCTTATAAAACTCATTTTTGTTTGTCTGGACACCAAAATAACAACTGGAGTCGATATAAAACCCAATTTATTAATGGAATGTCGCTATTTCTGTTTTTATGAAATTTATTAAATGTAACTTTAAGTTTGTTGATAAGCTTAATGTTTTTGTAAAAATCACATTTTATAGTCCGATCGAAAAACTTGATGTTTCACCAGAACATTGCAATAGAGTATTTTTATAGTTCTTTGGAAAAAAAATATTAACTGCATTTTATTTCATTCCTAACATATTTAAAATGGGGCTCAATATGGCACCAAAAGTTATCATGTAAATGACCGACAGAACTGGATATTTTCGCAGCATCTCTTCATGGAATAATAACTGATCACCAATCAACAGCCCTTTCCAAATAGACACTAATATAAAAGTTTATAATAATAAAAAACAATAATTATATAAAATGCATATAATATAAAAAATGGGCCGAAAAGGGTCGGCCGAAACCAGACTTGCCCGGCCGAAAACGACTGGGCCGATTCCAAAAGTGGGCCGAAATGGGACCAAACCACTGTGCTAGTTTTATACTCAACTATGGGCTGTTATGAGATTTGAAAGCTGTTTTTATTGGCATAAATATGTACGAAAAACAAAAATAAAATATGAATGCAAAACTAAAAAAATATGTATGCAAACTAAAATAAAATATGTATGCAAAACTAAAAACAAAAAAAATGCAAATGTCACTTTTATGCCACCGTTATTTTGTTATATGAACACAATTTTTAGATATTTCAAGTGGTAAAATTAATGAAACTTTTATCACTTAAGCATCATAAAGTATTGACCGCCATCTTGAATTCCACCTCAAATATTCCAATGTCGCAGATAGAAAATAAGTCAGTACTCAGTATTAAAGCAGAACTCAGATGACACTTTTAGACCTCTTGAACCCAAAGTGCGTTGATATGTAGCATATTAACGCACTTTGGGGTCAATTTCTCGATTTCAACCCCAAAGTGCGTTTGACCCCAAAGTGCGGTGCGAAGTTTAACGCACTTTGGGGTCGGACCCCAAAGTGCGTTTGACCCCAAAGTGCGGTGTTACATAGCCTTAACATTTGTACTTGGAATCTGGCGACTGGGTACTGACACGTACGTTCAGCTCATTCATGCGTGAAAGGGAAATAAAGAGTAAGAGAAAAAATTACCGATTCCTTTTTCAGCTTCCATAAGTGATGCGAGTGAGGTATGTCCACTGTCAACGGATTTATCCAGTTGTACACTTTCTATGGATTTTATATGTGTCGCAAAACATACCAAAACAAGTACAAAAAGTACAATAATTGCAACCCATTTCTGAAATAGAAACTGTTTTTTAAAGAAGTAAAAAATTGAAAACAAGATCAATGTGTAGAGAAAAATCTTCGAAGCATACATTAAATTCATATTTATAGTCTGATTGCGGGTTACTTTTTAAATACGAAAAATTATCATAGATATTATACTCTTTTGGTAATGCCATCGCCATAATTGTCCAAAACGTATTTCATGTCATTAAGATTTCAAAAACATGGCCGTCGATTGAGTATCGTACTGTGAGATGGCCAGTGATGGCTGAAAAGAGTGCAAAGAAAATCGTAAGATTCAGTGGGCATCAGGTGACTGGATGGAGTAGTGGCATTTTTAAGTTTGAAATTTATTTAAGAAACAAAAACAACTGCATTGTTTTCTTCATAACATTTATTTTTTTACAAGTCTCTGGGAAAATTTGTCATATATATACATTTTTAAAAACGTTTTTGTCAGTCCTGGTATCACCATTACATCTCTCAATAAAAAGGGAGGTACATTTAATTGTCTTGTAGGCATTTTGCAAACAATGCTCGGTTTCTATGCTAATTAAATCTCCATTGAGTGTAAAGCGTTACAACGATTTTCATTTAGATGGCATTTTACACAATAAAGATATTTATTCTTGAAAAACGGGGTACGGGAATGATCTGAAAATTTTCAAATAATAGAAGAACCAATTTATGTACCATATATGCATGAAAGTGTATCTGGTTGTATTCCTTGAAAGTCGTAATTAGCTTAAAAACATTTTAAATCAAATATATATACCGGTATGTTGCAATGATTCCATGTACTTTTCTGGCTTTTCTGCAAAAAGAGGAAATAATATATCCGTTACTATCGCAAAAATAGTAGTGAACATCTGTTTGACTTTGTTGGACACCGACATTGTAAATTTCAAATGGCAAAATCTTATCTTTACTGTTGGGGTAAAAATGGGTTAAAAACTTGTAACATATCCTTGAAACACGCTGTTTAGACCTATAATTTTTTGTATAACATGTATCATTGAATACATACAGTTTTGTTAATTGAAGATTTGCGTGTCAAGAGATACTTATTTTAATGAAATAAAATTGCCACACGTAACTTCTTTCATCTTATTGTCCGTTTATTTACACGTGACTGTTATATTGCTGTTAAATGGCTATGTAAACGATACACATTATTGCCAGTTTTATTAATATGTTTCTGTTTTATTTGATAATTTCTGTTGAATGGTTATTTTTGCATAAAACTAAATGAGGTCTAAGAAAATATTCACTCAGGGTGCCACGTTTTTTGTTTTTTATTTTTTTTTTATTTTTTTATTTATTTATTTTATTTTTTTTTTTTTGGGGGGGGGGGGTGTTTTTTGTGTTTTTTTTACGCAGAAACACTGCATCAGGCAAGATAGCCCCTTCTTACTCAGGATCTACATGCGTGCTCGCGCGTGCACGATAAAAAGTGAATTACTAGTAACCCTTGTTAATAATTAAATTAGTTTGCATTATACACTTGTGTTGCTTATGATTCAACTGTCACGTGACTATGGTTATGATTTTATACAGGCAAAATAGTCAATTTTATACCGAGAAAAACAACTTGCGTCTTTAATCTTGCAGAGACAGAAGGGAGTGAACTCTTTATATTAAATGACAGTACAGTGCAGAGGATAGGGAGGAATTTCAATGATAGAAATAACAAAGTAATAAAAAATAATGCTACTTTTAGATCTATCGAGTGTATTATAGTCATAAATACACGTCATAGACAGGTCGGAAAGTTATAATCGGCCCTAAAACGAATAATACCCTTAATTATGGTCATTTTCATAAGTGCTAAGTGTATTAACGTCCTATTGTATACTACAACACACAGAATCATATGTTGTATATGCAGAATGAAAACTGTATAATATAATCTATATCTTAGAATTTAATAACAAAATCATTATAAGCGAAAAATGGGGGTCATGAGGTGTGAGCCTTTTAAGCAGTTTATATTAGTACTATATGTTTTAAATATGAAAGATATACATGTACAATGAATTCTACAGTTAGTGGGGCGGGAAATAAGGTCTCTGCTGTCAAAATAGTGCAAATTGCATGAACTTTTCAGGAAATTATCATTAGACCATGTAGATTTCAAAAGAGAAGTGGGCCCAAAAATATCTCTGCTTATTCAAAATGGCCGCCATTTTTAAAATGGCCGCCATATAAAATTAACGTACACAATAGCTCATCCATTACATTTTTATACAGACCAGAAACTTACACAAAGGCATGCATATAGTTTCTCCTTTTCAAAGGTTAAATTTTACAAAATTTTGCTTTCATACCTCTTCAGAATCCAAGATGGCGTCCAATATGGCTGCTAATTTTAAAACTGATATATTTCTTTTATAGTAATATGTTGCACATAGTATGCTTGTTTCCACATAAAATTGTTTAAACATATTATAAAAATGAAATAATAGGTTAACCACATTGTTATTAAAAAAGTTAAGTTTTTTGTACAAAAAGAAATATTTAAAAATATGGAAAAAAAGAAGAAAAAAATGTCATTCTTTGCATTTTTCTCCAACATGGTTTTATATTATAATATATGTACAAAATTCAAAAGGTTACTTAGTTTCTTATAGTGTATTTGATATTCAATCAACACTACGTTTTATTGTATAAATGTAACAAAACCATAAAATGTGAAGATTTTATACTTAGTCAAAGTGGGTTGAGTAAATTTATCCGACATTTGTAATACATAATTTATCCTACAATTGTAATACAAAATAATGAAATTTGCAAAGGTAAGTAATATTCATCTTTTTTCCTTTTTTATATTTTTTTTATGAATTCAAATGCAAATATTCACTGTAAAAATATATTATTGTATTAAGGTATTTTTGTCTTCCTTCGGGTCTAGAGGGTGTGCTAAAATATCATTAAATGCAGATCCAATCATTTGAATATTTCAATTACTAGTATAAAATTTGTTTGCATGATATAAGTTGTTTCAATATTCTTAAAGCTGCATGCCTCCAGATGAGCATAAATATTTCAATAAAATCAAACTTGAGAAAAATGTACTCAGATTTTAGGAAATGTAAAAGTATTCAAGATTCAAGTGATATTTTACATGTTTTGGGCGATTAATGACTGATTTTTTTTCAGTATTTATAATTATATATATATATTTCTACTCCGTTACTAACGCAGTAAGGGCTATTTTTGCATATTTTGTCCTCTTTTTAGTAGTTAACGTAGGTTGTAAGTGCCATTTATAATATGTTAATTGCTTCCGTTTGGTTATTTCACTAAATAACACTTTAAAATACATTTTCAAATTTTTCATGAAAATTAGCATGAATCTGGAGGCGTGCTGCTTTAATATAATTTGTTAATTGTACGGAAAGAAGACTGAATATACATCAAGGAAATATATATTTGATAAATTCATGCCTGTACATGAGTGAAATGTTGTCTATTTATGAATACAATTATTTCCTTGACAATTTAGTCTTTGTAAAAGCTTGAAACAGAATGAGTCAAAGTTACATTTACTTGCACATCATTGTAACCAAGTATAATTAATTAGTACTATCCATTTCTAATACCTTATGTAGACATAATATTTTCAAAAGATACAAAAACTAAGGCGACTGATACATCATATTATCTATGTGTGGTGAAATAGGTATCCATAATATCGCTTGACCTACATAGCTTATGTTTTGAAATCGGGAATTAATGACACTAGATCGCCTTAGTTCCACTGATGGAAAAGGACTATAAGTCTTTAATACTGAAGTACGCTTAGATCATATATGGAGTATCATTTTTTTCACCAAATACAGTCATAGTTTATAAACTATTGAAAAGAAACACGTCTCAGAACTTTTTCACACAATAAGACTAATATAACTTTATTCCAATAAGAAGCAATGTAAACTAAGAAATTTTGACCCTATGCCAACAGTTCATGAATTTATATTGCATAACAATGTGATGATAAACGATATTTTTTTCTGCTCTGTGCACTGTTGTTTCGGAGAAGAATTTTAAAACATAAGTCAATGTAAACTAAGTGACATCCTAGGGAAACTCATTTGGAATGCAGGAGTATTATAAGCCACGAGGGGCACAGTTTTTAAAGCCCTTTGTAGGGAATCACATTCAAGTTAAAAAAACAACAAAAAACAAAACTACAATGCCTAGAGCTTAGATGATCAACATATAACCTTACCAAGTAGAGGAAACCTCTTTTAAAGTTACATAAAACGTTTTTGGATCATGTACATGCAAAATAAAACATGTTCTCAAAAAGCAAACAGAGCACAGGTATTAAGCATGTAGCATCACCTTGTGTCTTTATTAACTTATTACATGAGTCATGCTCATAGAGCCACCCAGGTTAACAGACTTGTATAGGAAAACACATTACAAACACAAATTCTAGCGTTAAACTATAAAGATTTGAACTAAGGCCATTATTTTTTTATATTTCGGTTTACTGACCCGCCGCATCCTCTTTTTGGGAAAATGAAAAAAAAATCTGCCCCTAAAAAAAAGTACTCGAAATATGCGCTAATTAAATTTAGATCTAAATGTTCAATGGGAGATTTATAGAAGTCCAACTTATTACTTATTAGACTTGTCAAAGAAATGTCGAGATTATTATTTTTGACGGCGATGTATTTTGCATGAAGAAAAATGTCTGCAAAATGGGTTAAACCATTCTCGCCAAATTTAATTAGGCTAAATCTATATATTTTAAATATATTTCATGTATGTATATACAAAATCATATGTTTTGAAGGTCCAATTGTGTAGAAATGTCAAAGAAAAAACAAACTAACAAAAAAAAAAAAAAAAAAAAAAAAAAAAAAAAGCCAAAATACGCATGTTATTACAGCGTGAGAAATCTTATTCAATGAGAATCAGAAATTAAATTAAATCTAAAAAGAAATAATTACAAGTGACAATATCACTATTTACAGATTTAACAAAAACATTAGTCTTTAAAAAAGAGATTAGATATGGGTTTCCTTTCAAACAAAATAAAAAAATGCACTTACGTTAATAATTTACATTGTCGGTAATTGACAAGCTAATATTCCGATAGAAATATTTTTTCAACTTTGGCAATAATTTTAACAAGTGTAATCTTTTCTTGACAGGTTTTTAAAAACTTCTTTTATATAAATAAATGAGTGCGAGTCAGTTGAGTTTCGGCACCTTTTGATGATTTCCGATTAAATAACTGGGACTACATGTGTGTGAACATCAAAGATTTACACCGACTCTTTTGAAGGGTCTGCGAGGTCATCTCGTGTGTAGATTAAATAATAGCAACATGAATATTTTATCAATTTTTGTGATTGCTATTTTGTTTTCACACCTGTATGTGAACGATGTTTTGTGTATTTATAAGCACTGTGGAATTTAGACAGTCGGTCATTTAATTTCTCTAGTAAGTACTATGTACGCATCACATTTATCAGAATCGGGATGGACTAATCATAAGAGAAGGGATTCTTACAAAGTATGTCACCTTCCAGACATGAAGTTACTTATGAAAACTTTTCTCTTTTCCTTTTTTTTTTTTCCCTCCTCCGACCCTACCTATTTTTGGAAAAAATCAGTAAACCAAAATATAAAAAAAAACGGCCAAAGATATTTGGGATGTAGCATGATATAACATGCATAAATTTGTGTGATACTACTGCATTTACAATGGGTAACACTTAATTTACAAAGACTACTGTAATAAAACCTACAGTACCCGACGCATAGACATTATTCATGTAATATTTTTTATACTCTACAAATATTTGATAAATCATGGACAAGATAGTCAAAATTTACCGAGCACCAGGGGTCACTCATATATGAATATAGTTTTTTAAGTCCTCTCGTGTGAAACATTTTTTAGAAACTAGATATTGGGCATGTTTCTTTAAAAGCAACCTGATACAAATATTACACAAATCATGTGTGTTATGACGTAATTGACACGCTCAATATGATCGTGTTACCTACCTTTATTAAAGAATTGAGACCTTTTTCCAACAATGATCTTAGGTGAGTGAACCAGGGTCATCATTACCCACTTATTAAAGAAATAATGTGATATGATTACTTTAAGAAATACACTTAGTTTATATCTTAACTTTTCAAAAAACTGCATGCAAGCCATGCAATATCATTGACATATCTGTTTCTCATCACATAGCTGCGGTGATGTGGCAGTAGCCTTTTTTTTACTATGTAAGTTCAGACATTGAATGAAAACAAACAACATTATCTTATTTTGCTGGCTTTTAAGCCATGTTTATATCATAAATTATGAAATTGCAAAGGAGTCAAAATATGCGTTTATCGACTACCTTTTTACCTTATATTCATGTTCATGTTTGTCACTTAAAGCACGTTTACTTGATTTATTGTCTTCTTATATATCTTTACAATTAACAATTAATATATAATATCAAATATACTGAAACAAGAATTATCATGCAACTGAATGTATACACATGATTGTATGTGCATTTCTTGCCCGGAGATAGACAAAAATACCTTCATCCAATAAAGAGTACTTTTTGAGATGGGACATTTGTATAAGAATTCATAGAAAAGTAATGAAATGCAAAGAAATAGAATGGACTTACCTATGTATAATTTTGTGTTTTTTCAATTACAATTATCGGATACAATTACCACACCACTTTCACAAAATATAAAACCTACAGATTTTATGTTTTTTACATTTTTACAATAAAAACATGGTACATGTATTAATGGAATGTCAAATACAGTTTAAGAAATGAAGTAACTTTTTAATGTTGTACATTAGTTAAGAAAATCAAATTTGAGGAATATGCAAAAATTAGATTTTTTTAAATATATTTTTTAGACAAAACTTTTGAAATGTTTACTTTTGTTAAAATTAACATATAATTTGATTATCTCTTATATGTTTGAACACTTTTTTGTCATAAAAAGATAATTTGTGCAACAAATTATACAGTAACTATAAAACTGATATAACAGTTTTGCACAAAATTGGCGGTCATATTGGACGCCATCTTGGATTTGAAAAAGGTATGAAGGCGAAATTTTGTAATATTTAAATTTTTGAATAGGAGAAACTATATGCATGCTTTTGTGTATGTTATAGGTCTGTACAAACAATTGGAATGAATGAGCTATTTTGTACGTTATGAAAATTTTGAAAATGGCGGCCATCTTGAATGAGCAGAGATATTTTTAGACCCATTGTACTTTTGAAATCTACATGGTCAAAAGATGATTTCCTGAAAGTTTTATGCTTGTATCACTATTTGCACTATTTTCTCAATTTCCCGCCCCGCTATAACCGCTGCGGGAGTTTGCAAACGTAAAACTAATCCAGTCGGGAACCCAGAAAAACTTAGAAAACGCAGTAAAATGACACATCTCTATTTTAAGAAAAGGGGTAAAGAATATTTTTTTTAAAATAGAGGTCATATTAATGTAGATCAATGTCATGGTAACTTTCCTCTGCTCAAGAACAGGACAACGGGCGGCGATAAATATGGTATACTTAAAATTAAACAGTTCAGCAAAATACAACCATTCAGAAGATCAAAATATATCAGTACTTCAACATAAAAAATCAATATTCTATTAAATATATTCGATACATACCCCGAATAATTTTAAAATTAGACGAGACTTACCTGGTAAGTTGAAGTATAATTGGAATTTAATGAGTTCCAATAATAAATTGAGTACTAAAATGAGATAACTTCCGCCGCGCATGCGCCTCAGCCTTCAACAAATTTCTATTTTTCTACTAAACAGCATTCTTAGTATATTTTACATTTAAAAACCCTTGTTACTCAATACTGGTATATCATTCGATTTTTTTTTTTTTTTTTTTTTTTTTTTATATAATTAGACTTGTAAAGTTTGAACTAGATCTGTGAAGTGTAGGGTGGGTAGGGTGGCATTTTAGTACTCAATTTATTATTGGAACTCATAAAATTCCAATTATACTTCAACTTACCAGGTAAGTCTCGTCTAATTTTAAAATTTTATTTCGTTCAAACAAATAAATTTTCGTCTAAAATGAGATTTCAACGTAGAAAAATAGAAATAAACAAGTTTAACACAAAAGATACACATGTACCTATTAATTTAACAAGTTACCTTCTACAGTTTTAAAACTGCATTACTGAAATTGTCACCAGTTTCCACCGATTTGTTATAAAATTTTCTGAATGTTGAAGCATTAGTCCAAACCAGCTGTTTGTAGAATGTTTTGAACTGGAACCCCTGATCTGTATGCTTTTGAAGATGAAGCTGCTCTGATAGTGTGTGGACCATATATCTGTATGTTTATTCCTGACCTAACCAAAACTGTCTTTATCCAACGAGAAATTGTGTCCTTACTCACAGCATTATGTGGTTTTGAATAACTTATGAACAAACTTGGTTTCAGTTTTCCCTCGAAACTGTCTGGTACGTTTTAAATATTCTTTTAACACAAAATATGTACACAAACGCCTATCTGGCGGATATGCGGAAAATTTACAACAGACAACATTATATCCTGGCCTACTTTGCTTGAGAAGCCCATCAACATAAACAATAAATTCTGTCTTTAACTTCTGAATACCTTTCACAGTTAATAAATGAAGTGTTTGTACTCTAGTTGCATTCGTAAGACCCATCAGCATTACTAATTTCAATGTTAAATCCTTTAAAGTTAACTGACTAACTGGACTCAAAGTCCTTAAATATATCAAGACTTTATTTACATCCCATATTTCGGAATACTTTGGTTTCATAGGTCTCAAATTAAAAATTCCACGTAAAAAACGCACCACTACAGGATGGTTCCCAATAGAAAATATTTTCCCATTTTACTCCTAGAGATGATAATGCTGAACGAGCAGAGTTTATAGAACTATAACTCAAACCTTTTTCAAATAATTCTGTTAAAAATTCAATAACACTATTTATAGACGGTTGAATCTCACTAATTTTCCATTTATTACAGAACTGAAGCCACCTGTTGATATATACTTTGTACTGCTGCTTGGTCGACACTCTCCACGATGCAAGAAATATTGCGGTAGCCTTTTTTGAAAAACCTTGGTTTCTAAATGATTTCCCGAGACTCGACATGCCAAAAGTTTTAACCTTTTCCCCATAGGGTGCACTTTGTTGAGCTGTTTCAATTGAAGGAGTGTCTCGCTTCTTGGAAGCAATCGTGGATTGTCCACCAAAATTCTCAGCAGTGCTGGAAACCAGACTTGTGTCTTCCATAGTGGTACAATAATTATAGCTTGTGCCTGGTCTGTCAGGATTTTGCGAATGCAACGGTTTAATAAACTGAAAGGAGAAAATATATACACACATCTATAAAAACTCCAGTTTATACTAAAAGCATCAATGTATGCTGCCCAAGGGTCTGGTTCAAATGCACAATAATGAGTCACTTTATGATTTAATCTAGACGCAAAAAGGTCAATATCTGGTTTACCCCATAAATTACAAATTTTTTCAAAAATATCCTGTCGCAATTCCCACTCAATATTATCATTGAATTTTTCTTGAAGGTGCATCTGCGACATTTCTTTTGCCTGCAATGTGACTACAAGTAAGCCATATGTTATTATCAACACAAAACTTTCCATATACTTTTGCTCATGTCGTTGCAAGTAACAGATTTGCAACCCCCCATATTAGTTACATAGCACACTGCTGTAGTGGAATCAGTCAAAATCTTAACATGTTTATCTGCTAATTTACTACACAAAGACTTTATAGCAAAGAAAATTGCTTTCATTTCTAAAATAATTTATATGAAACTGTTTTTCCTCTCTAGTCCAACGGCCATGACCTTTTTTACCTTCACAAACAAATGCCCAGCCTAAATGAGAACTGTCAGTTATAATTACAATTTCAGGATTTCCCCTGTCAATAACTCTATATGCTAAGCCAACATTGTTAACCCACCATAAAAGTTCCTCTTTCATGCAAGCAGAAATTTGCATATTTTTATCAAAATTTCCACAATTGTGTTTTAAAGCAGCAGACTTAGCCATTTCCAGATTTCTATAATGCAATTTGCCAAAATCAACAGCAGAAAAAGCTGCAACCAACAGACCTAAAACCTGAGCGACCTGTCGAATAGTTGCAACGGTTTGATTTAACAAATCTGTGCACTTTTGAATTATGAAGTCTTTTTTGTTATCAGGTAAATAAACTTTCATTAGTTCAGAATCTATGACAAAACCCAAATGTGTCATCTTTTTGGTAGGAACCATAACAGATTTTTCTTTATTTATGAGAAAACCCAAGTCAGTCATTAATTTGACAGTTTCATTTACATTAGATTGACATTCTTGAACAGTGTGGCCACCAAGAAAACTGTCATCAATAAACCCACTACTGATATGACCTTTATTTCTAAGCGTAGAATACACAGGTTTAAGTAATTTTGTAAATATTAATGGTCCATGAGCAAGACCATTGGGCATGGCAACAAACTGAAAAATTTTGTTTTTTCCAACTGAATCTCAAATAGATCTGATGCTCATCAGCAATTTTAATAGAGTAATAAGCATGTCTTAAATCAACTGAACACATATACATATTTTTTGTCACTAGTTTTAAGGTGGATTCAAATGTATCCATTTTGAAATGATGATATGGCAGGTATTCATTAAATTTCTTAAGGTTTAATATTAGTCGATATTCTCCACTTTTCTTTTCCCTTAAAAATATGGGGCGACAAAAAACTGACCCTCAACATATGTAACCTGTTTAATTACCTGCATTTCTAACAATTTTTCAATCTCAAACTCAACAATCTTTTCTTGTTCCCTATTAAATTTAATCTGATGCACAAGCCTGTCTTGGCAAGGAATAATACCACCTAGAAATTTTATATGACAATGCTTAACAATATCTAAAATTTCAGGATCACTCGTAATATTTTTCCAAGCAGAAACAAAATTTGTCAATCTACCAGCAACAAACAAATCTCTTACATGTGATATATCTAAGTTCTTGGATAACCGCGCTGGCGGCCTCTGTTCCAGTTTTTTGGAGCTCCTTTTTCAAAAGACTCTTGAATCTGCCCAATGCGAGGATAAGGACCCCTGCGGGGCCCCCTAAATCCAAATCGACGTCTAAACATGACACGTCCTCTAGCACGAAAAGAAGGACCATACTGCATGCGATTTCCCATCTTGTTACAATCCTCAATATCTTTTGCAGCTTTAGATACATCGTCACCAAATATTTCCGACGTAAATGGATAAGAATGGTTACATAAGTTCGCATAATCTGCTTTCAGTTCAGGACGCAAAAAATCTCTTCTTGCATGGTATAACTGAACATTAGCTTGACCAAGCAACGCTAAAGCATCATTACATGTGTCAAGTATGGTACCAAAACTCTGATCTTTTTCAGATTCCAAATGTGCCAGCTCATTCATCGATTTTGTCAAATTTACTCCGGCCTTGACAATAGACTTCTCAATATTTTGTAATTTCTTGTCATTATTCCGAGATCTTGGAGGGACCACGTCCCAAATCAGCTTATTTAATTTGACAACAACTAATCCTTCACAATTTTTTGGCCGAGCACAAACATCATCTTTAGTCATATTCTCATAGACAATATCACCCAAACCATTCCTGAACAAATTATTCACATTTCCAGCCAGAGCGTTATCTACATCGTCACTCACAACCTCCTCCGAAACAAACTTAGAAGCAAGTTTATCAAATCTACTGGCAGTGGCCGAGTTATTTGTCGAAACAGACTCCGATGCTTTATCACTAGTCTCACTAGATTTATTTACAGTTTTTTCTGTGTAACAGCTGTCCAATGGACTATGATAGCTCATGTCCAGGTTACTATATTGAGTGTATTGTTCAGAACTATCTTGCATTTCATCACCTTCATAATTCTCATTGTAGTAATCACAATACTGATCATTACTAGAATCTTCTAGATTATGAATACGACCATCCAACAAATCTAAACGATTGACTAAAGAATTTTGATCATTTCTAATTGATCTTAGTAAATCCATCATACACTCCTGATTATTATTTATTTCAATCATTTTTCTGTGATTTTTCATTTGAACTCTCGCACTCGGGTTCATTACTCTGTTTTTTAGACGATTTTATTCGAGTTTTCCCATTTTGGCTCGACTTTCCCTTTTCATCATTTTTTGTTCTTTTGTCTTTCTCTGACTCTTTTTGCATGTCTTGCGACAAAGTCGCCATTTTTTTTATATCACAATCTAATTTAAACTGTTATACACTGAATAGCAATACCCCACCACCCTACGGGCGGTGCACAATTTGGTTATAAAAACAACTTTATATCAATTGTCACTCGTAAAATTACGCCACGCGTAATAGAAAAAACCTTCTTTAAACTTATTACAAAGTTAACAATACGCTACGCGCATTGAAATTCTTAACTATAGCATTTAATTGCGCTACGCACAACTACAAAAACGTGTTATCGCCGAGGCGGACGGAAGCACACTGAGGCGCATGCGCGGCGGAAGTTATCTCATTTTAGACGAAAATTTATTTGTTTGAACGAAATAAAATTTAATTGAAATTCTGCAATATTTTGAACACCGAATAAATTTGGATTATTTTACTTACCACCACGTTTGAGCATTCAATCCTGTCCTCGCTGATCGGAGCATAAGGACAATCTTCTTTTGTACAACCTGTCATATCCAAAACTTTATATTCTCTCAAAAAGAGTTTCCTGACATATCACACAGTCAAAACAAAAATTACTTATACGCTACAAACTACAAAATCGAAAACGAAACTATGAAAATATTGTACACGAAACCCAGTCTTATATACAGTCAAGTACAGAACCAGTTCCAGTTAAAGTCCAGTTTCTTCAATGCGTTTTTCATTGAAATATTTCTGACGTTTGTAATGTAATACAATCCATGCATTAAACGTAGTGATTAGTTTATAAAATGTTTAAATTATACGTATGAATATAAATGGCATAGAATATTATTAAACTTTAACGAGTCCTCTCTTGTTTACGATCTTCTTTTATGCGATGTATGTTTTGTGTACTCGTTGTTCATCACGATCTAATATAGCAATATGCCGATGTCTTTTATATTTTCAATATAGATCTAATATTATTGATGCTAGTGTGTCAAATCATTTCGAAATTCAAGTACACATAATTAAAAAAAAACTGTTTGTGTTCATATTTTCAGCTATGGTTATAACTCTATTTTTGTGTCTACGGAGTAGTGGCGGCATATAGGGATCACTTCTCCGTCGTCTGTATGTCCGTCTGTCTGTCCGTCTGACACAAAACTTTTTCGGACTACTCCTCATAACCTACTGGTGCAATGTCATCCAAACTTTACAGGAATGATCAGTACCAAGTCTAGTTGTGCATATTGTCAGCATTTTCCGGTTCAATGATTTTTGTCAGAGTTATGGCCCTTTAATAATTTTTATTTTTAAAGTTTGTCCAGACTACTTCTCTTATACCATTAATGCAATTTCAATGAAACTTTACAGGATTGATCTGTAACTCAAGTCCTTGCGCATGTTGCACGGGTTTTCAGGTTGAATGATTTTTGGCCGAGTTATGGCCCTTTGATAAAAAGGTGTTTTTTTTCTGTGTGTTGCCAGATACACAAAAGCTTGTCCGGACTACTCCTCATAAACTACTGGTGCAATTTTATCCGACTTTTACAGGAATGATCAGTACCAAGTCTAGTTGTGCACTGTCCGTCTGTCACAAAACTTGTCCCAACATGAAATTGGCCATCATGAGGCGACACATGTGATCACTGATCGCTCTTGTTAAATATTTAAAATCAAAATGTCTCAATGTATAATAAAACTTCCCAATCTACTATATCAACATATAAACAGCAATTACATTAGATATAACCACAAACATTGACATGCGTTCTTTTGTTATCAAATAAGTTTTGAATCCACTATCAAAATTAGATAGGTGAGAGTGTAAAATAATTTCGCATGTGTTTTCCGTTATTATCATTTATATATTGCTTATTATGATTGTGTGTTTGTTTGTTTCATTTTACGCCTTTTCCAAACAGTATTTCAGTCATATAGGCGGATAGTTTCCTAACCATCGTTCCTGGAGAGATACACCAGTACTAGACTACCTTCCTCCGTGCGAAACTACCAAAGCATCTCCCCGGGATCGAACCCACGCCAGAGAGGTAACTGGATAAGAAGTCATCGACTCTTACCCCTCGACCACGGAGGCGGTTTTATGATTGTATGAACTATATATTATAACTTTGTGTTGCTACATGCAATAACTGTAAATAACGTGCCGTTTCTGTATGCACACAGAGAATATGTAAATAAAACTTGAAAACTTAGGAATGAATTCGTTGTATTCTAATCTGGGAATATTTGCACAAAGTTATGTTTATTCTGCAAGTCTCTGGTAATTTCTATTGATAATCAGCTATGTCTAAAAATTTCATCTCAAATCTGAAGGCGCATATATTGCAACACAAAAGCCTCCGCCAAGCGGTAGCCACGCTACAAATCTTTTTTTTTTAATTTTTACTAAAAGCAAACAAATAAAAGGTTTAAACAACTCATTAAACAAGAGGGCCAAGATGGCCCTAGATCGCTCACCTGACCCATCAAACTGAACCGAGCAATTACCTAGACAAGCATCCTGACCAAGTTGCATGACAGGTGAGTCAACAAGAGCTGTCAGAAGGACAGCGCGCTCGACTTTTTTAGTGCTTGCCTATAAAACAAAACTTTGACAGTTAAGGGCACACAAGACTTTAACTAGGAATTTCTAAGTACAAATCAAGAAACATTTTCACAGAGTTATCTTCTCTTGCTTACAGATAGGTCTCATGATGGCACATAAGAACTCCAACTTCCAAAGTAATATCTCAAATGGTTAAGTCAACAAGTGGACAAGAATGAAAATCTTAACTGAGTTTCTAAGTCAAAAAGGGCCATAATTCAAATAAAATCCTTAACAGAATTACCTTCTCCTGCCCATGTTTTGGGACCATGATGGTAAACAAGTATTCCAACTTTCAAATTAATATCTCAAACAGTTCAGTCAAAAAGTGGACTGGTACTAAAAACTTAACCAAGATTCTAAGTCGATAAAAGGCCTTAATTTTTAAAACAAATCCTTGACAGAGTTACCTTTTCTTGCGTACAGATGGGGGTAATGATGTGAAAAAGCATTAAAAGTTTCAAAGCAATATCTCAAAGGGTTAAGGCAATAAGTGGATTTTACCCATATTCAATGTATTTTCTAAGTCAAAAAGGGGCATAATTCTGTCAAAAACCTTGACAGAGTTATGTCCTCTTGTCTGTTGATGAAGGTCGTGATGGTAAACAAGTATGGTCAGTTTCAAAGCAATACCTCCAATGGTTTTGAAATAAAGTGAGGTGGTACAAAAAACTTAACCAAGCTCAATACACTTTCTAAGTCAAAAAAGGGCCATAATTCTGTCAAAAACCTTGACAGAGTTATGTACTCTTGTCTGTAGATGGAGGTTATGATGGTGAACAAGTATGGTAAGTTTCAAAGCCATACTTGTAATACTTCTGAAATAAAGTGGGGTGGTACGAAAAACTTAACCAAGGTGTGACGCCAACGCCGACGCCGACGCCGGGGCGAGTAGGATAGCTCCCCTTTTCATAGAAAAGTCGAGCTAAAAATGTGACCACTAGTGTTAACAAGGATTTTCCATATTTGAGTAGTGTGACCTAGTTTTTGACCCCATGTGACCCATATTCAAACTTGACATAGAAATCATCAAAAGAAACGTTCAGATCAATTTCCAGGATATTTGGATCAAAACAGTAGCCACTAGTGTTAACAAGAGTTTTCTATTTTTAGCTCCTGTGACCTAGTTTTTCACCCGAGATGACCCATGTTCGAACCCATCCCAGCAATTACCTAGAAAAGCATCCTGACCAACTTTGATGACAATTGAGACACAAGTGTGACCACCAGAGTGTTAACAAGGTTTTTCCATATTTGGGCGGTGTGACCTAGTTTTTGACCCCAGGTGACCCATATTCGAATTTGACCTAGTAATCATCAAAACAAACTTTCAGACCAATTTCCAGGATATTTGGATCAAAACAGTAGCCATTAGAGTGTCAACAAAACTGATCTATTTTTAGCTCCTGTGACCTAGATGACCCATGTTCAAACTCATTTGAGCAATTACCTAGAAAAGCATTCTGACCAACTTTGAAGACAATTGAGTCAAAAATGTGTCACTAGAGTGTAAACAAGTTTTTTTCTATGTTTGGGCGATGTGACCTAGTTTTTGACCCCAGGTGACCCATATTGGAACCAAGAAATCAAACTTTCAGACCAATTTCAAGGATATTTGGATAACAAAAGTAGCCACTAGAGTGTTAACAAGTTTTTATTATTTTTAGCTCCTGTGACATAGTTTTTCATCTGCGATGACCCATGTTTGAACTCATCCGAGCAATTACCTAGACAAGTATCCTGACAAAGATTGATGATGAACGAGGCAAAAATGTGACGAACAAATGTGGATGGACGAAGGTCAATCAACAATCCTAAAAGCTCACCCCGAGCTAGCTCACGTGAGCTAAAAGGCAAAAAAAAAATCTTTTTTTTTTTTTTTGGGGGGGGGGGGGGGGGGGTGTCAGAGATCGTGTTTTTTTTTTTTAATCATAATTTTATCAAGTTGTAAAACTTATCATTTTGTTACTTTAGGCACTTTTGTGACCCTTTATATAATATATATGTCTTAAGTTTCAGGAAAATAGCTGACATGGTTTAAAAGATATAAAGATATTAAAGGAAAACAAAAGACATAAAGATATTTATTATTTAAGGAAAATAAAACAGAAAGACATTACAGGAAAACAATCAGTACAAGACAAAATGGATGATCTGTATCACTTTATTTCATATAAGTAATTTACATGAATAAGTTTGATCTTTGCAACTTGTATAATTGCAAATATAACAGGCATACAAACAATCAGATAAAACAAGCTATATAGAATACATTCCTTGAGAAAAATACTATATGGAACTGAATATGTCATGTCATATTGTTATAGATTATAGATAACAACAAACCGCAATTATAATTCCAAAGAGAACTTCAGCTTGTTTGGCTCAAAATCCAATCAAGTATGAAAATACTTTAACCCCTTTACCTAGGTAACTAGAACAGACAGTGATTAGCCAGTATACTGCTAGATCAGCCTGCACAGATCAAATCCAGTCTGGCCAGGCTCTATACCATTGGCAGCTCAACTTTTGTATCATCTTAATAAGTTCCATTAAATTCAAATGGATCCTTCAAATGTTCAGAAGCAGGGCACTTTAGGTGTTTGATTCAGATTGGACACCTGAACCTCTCTAAAATAGGGAGTTAAAACGTCACCATATAGCTAGAACAATGACTCCTACGTACATCAAACATCAGAAAAAAATATTACATATCTTAAATATATATCTTTCAACTTTCATACTGACTTTACAGTAAAAAAAAATAACAATTTTACTTTGGTATGACCGACAAAGTCAGGGATTTTTTCCAGGATTTTGGGAACATGACCCATACCCATGGAATTGGGAATTTCAGCTGGTAAAAAATGCATGACCGAAATTTTGCAGTGATGACATGGATGCAAACAATTACTGACTATGATGGCATCTTCAAACATTGAAGCACTATTACAGTGAAGAAGCCCTTATTTGCAAGGATTTTAGAATTTTTATTTAATATCTTTTTGTCACTGTGGATTGGGAAAATAATATACTATTTTCAATTGGGAATATGACCCAATAACGGCTATAAAATAAGCCAAAAAAATCCTGAAACTTATATAATTCATTCCTTGACAAGTCTCGCCTCACATTAAAATCAGGTTTTACTTGTCATTGTAACAAAAAGTAAGTGCTGTCTATAGTTCTCTGCTTATTTCCTAGCTTCATGTGTACTCTTTAAAGAGACTTTCCTAGTTCCTCAATATCTCCATCAAAATAGAGCCAGCTTTGAGCTTTAACACATAATAAAATCCATTCTGCCAGAATCCATCCAATAATCATTTTAATTGGTA